AATTTGGAATCTGTACATGTTGAATTGAATTGAATTGAATTGCTCTTTGACTTTAATAGCCGTGTTTTCCTTTCTATTATTGCATAAATAACTGATTGACTAAAAAAGAAGGACGTGTAAAATGTTTATTCGTTGTCGTATCCAATCTAAAGTAGCAAAATTGCAACCTAGTTTGGTACGTTTGAATGGAAATAACTGGAAATGATAAGAGAAGGAAGATACATGAAGTGTTTGTTTGCTTATTTGTCCATCCCATGTACCCCACATATCGAACAATTAGACTCTGCTTTTTCAGTTTTGCTTCTACTAATCTACTGTAGCATATGGGGTTGTAGTTGTGTATAGCTCTTGCAAAAATTCTTACGCTGTACATTTAAAGATTAATTTTCAAAAAATAAGGGGATTTTGTTTCGTTTTCACAAATCAGGTGTTAGTTAGGTTTTAATAATTAAAATTAGTAAAAATTTAATTACAACTAATCTACATACCCAACACCCCACATTCATCCTACTCCCTTTGCCCTCTCCTGCGAAGGAACTAATGAAGTTTCATTTAGACCCCCACACTGTGAACAGAGAAAAAGAATGAAAACTATTGTAGACCCTAAGCTGAGACCCAGATATTGAACAACACGCCAAGGAACAGACGATTGAAACCGGAGATCGCCATCTCTGACCCTTGAATTTCTGGCTGAAACCATCATATACAATTAATTTTTGAAATAAAGCATGATTATATGTAGATTTGTTGAAAATTTTATGTAAAAAATGTTTGCATATGATAAATAACACATGAAATGCAAAAATATTCCGGGTTTTAATGGTAGAGATTGCCAGACATTTCTAGCTGCTTGTGACTAAAGAAGTCGTCTGGATTTATTTGGATCATTGGGTCGTCTGGAAATCCAAATTAATATTTCATTAATATTTAATTTAATTGTTTATTTAAATATTTAAATAATTGTTTTAATTTTTTATGTATATTATTTTTTAATATTTATTTATTTTAGTTATCTAATTTAATTGTTTATTTAAATATTTCATGAATTATATTAATTGTTTATGTATATTGTTTATTTAATATTTAATTACTTAGTTTAATTATTTATTTTAATTACTTATTTAATACTTAATTTAATTATTTATTTAAATATTTCATTAATTATTTTAATTGGTTACGTATATTATTTATTTAATATTTAATTACTTATTTTAATTGTTTATTTAATATCAAAAGTAATTGTTTATTTTAATATTTCACTAATTATTTTAATTTGTTTATGTACATTATTTATTTAATACGTAATTAGTTGTTTAATTTATTTATTTCAGTTATTTGATTTATTTGTTTATTTAAATATTTCATTAATTACCTTAATTATTTATGTATATTATATATTTAATATTTAATCAGTTATTTAATTTATTTATGTTAATTACTTATTTTAATTGTTTATTTAATATTTAATTTACTTGTTTATTTAAATATTACATTAATTATTTTAATTGTTTATGTGTATTATTTTATTTAATATCTAATTACTTATTTTAATTGTTTATTTAATATTTAATTTAATTGTTTATTTAAATATTTATTTAATATTTAGTTACTTATTTCAATTATTTATTTTAATAGTTTATTGAATATTTGATTTTGTTGACAAAAAATAAAATTTCGCTTTTTATAATTTCATTTTTTAATATTTCTTTACGTTTATTTCTTTTATACCATTATCTCTTGATTCTTGCATATAGTAGTTATACTTCGATTAGTTTAATTTTCAAATATTATACTTCATCCATTATCTTTTGTATAAGGTTCTAACATTTGAAATTTTACAATATGGAATACCATTTGAACGATGTCGTTAAACGGATCCTCGAAAAAGTTACATCGAATTGTAACTTTGCTAGCTTTGCGTTGGTATGAATACAACGGTGATCCTTAGTAAATTGTGTATTATTTTATTAAAGAATGTAAATATTGTTTGCTTCATCATGACTCGTGTTGTAATGTAATAATCGTATGCGTAATTTTGAGCATATTTTGAAAATTTTATCGATAATTCGATAATAGTTAACTAACGATTGAAGTAAAAAATTTCATATTAAATAAAAATATTGAAATACTACGATTTCAAACTATCAATTTAAATTTAACATATAATGTCAAATGCAACGACTTGTACAAAATAGTAAATATTATGTAACGGACATCATATGAAAACAGTAAGTAAAAATTAAGGCCCTGATTGAGCCCCATTTTTACCTCATTAAAATGAAAAATATGATCGTTATCTATCACATCAAGCCACTATTTTTGAATTTATATCTCTTATGTGGGGCCCATAATGGCTCTATTTTTCATTCTCATTCTACAAATAATGTGGCTCAAACGGACTCTAAATTTTATTACATGTCCGTTGAATTGTTATGTAGAAGAATCTAACTTGTACAAAATTGACGAGTAAGTCCTGTTACGCTGCACCTACCGCACTTACGAGGTTGAATTTTTTTTTTCCGATAGATGGTATTCTAGACATACGTCTATGTTCGGGAGTACGTGGTCTGACTTCGAGTGGCAACAAATTATTCAGTGGGAGAATGTGGTGGAAATTCTCTATGTATGGCCACTGCCACTATATACGTAAATGGAAAGCTCTCTAACTGAAACTTTCTACACATGCCTGTGTTATCATTCAAGGCCACAATATATCCGATATTATGTCCACATCTTACAGAGAAGCGTTAATGATCTATTGTTTCATACATACCTTTCTCGCCACCTCGAGAGTCTTAAAGAGTTTATCTTCTTGAATCGGAGTTAGCACATTTGTGCAACTCTGTGATTTCTTGTGTTGGTCATAAAATCACTGCTGCAGCTTGTTATGAATGTGATTAATCATTGCAAAAATTGGTAACTCCCGACCCTTCTTGAATAATGCATTGAGCGACTCTGTGTTATTGAATGTTATCATGTTGTATCGACGTCCTAAAAATGTGATCGTACTCGATTCTTATCTCTATGAGATAATCCCATGCAGCATTATCGACTCCCTGAACAGTAATATAAGAATCGGAAATAACATATTTTAGTTCGGGCATTTGTGATTTACTTTCTATTTTGACTATGATCTTTTTAAACTCTTCAAAACTGTAAACTTTTGCAACTCTTCTAAATAATGCAATGATACCACTGTCTCGATACTTAGTCTTCAGGTTGCCCGAAATATAGTACATACAATGACCATGATGTGCCTCGAGAAGACTTCAACGATACTATTTATTATTGACTGCCTCCGGTCAGTTATGAATGTAAGTTTATCGACGTTCCCAATTACTTCCTTCAATTTCATGAAAAACCAACACTTCGCTAGATCATTGGTGGTATTGGTCCGCAATATGTATAGATTTGTTTGTGGTGATCCTCTGTGATCAAATACGTGTTTATTGTAATTAATTATGTACTGGTTGTGACTTGATCATATACAGTCACAATTAAGATTGACTTGGTCACAGATAGGTACACTAAAAATCTTAGTCACATCAAAGATAAATTTGATCATAGTTAGTCACAGAAAACAAGTTAGCGACTTTGTTACATATGATCACAAATTAGATGGTTATAGATTGTCACACTAAAAATTAATTTTGTCACAGTTAGTCACATATGACACATATCTATTTAAAAAAATCTGATCGTAGATAACATAATACCCAAAATGTTGTCGCTGCTGCCACCACACGGATCAAGTCTAATATACTGTTATCCATAATCCAATTTCTTATTGAACAATCGACTACTTGTAAATGACTTCAAGCAAAGAATATTGCCAATGATCTATTAATTTATTTTGACATTAATATTAGTGTTCAGATTCTTTTCCAACGCCATAATTATAGTAAATTAATTAAATGTGTGGGTTCTTTTTCTTTTCTACAATTATTAATTTATCCACTGGTGAGTCTTGACATCATTTCAAACAATTAATTTTCTTGTTTTATTTGAAATAATCTTGTCTTTTTCTAGCCCATTAGTCATTTTCTTTTCTTAATTGAATCCTAAACGCCTTTGTTGAATCCTAGCATACGCTATTGTTCCTGATTGTAGAGTTAATACTAATTTTCAATTTTTGAAATTGTTTTACAGGTCAGGTGGGGCGTGGAAGGATACTATTAATTGAAATATTATTAATTTGGAGGGGATAATTAATTTCAGTTAATTATATAATATTAAATGAAATTAACACGTGAATTTTGAAATAGTTTGACAAGTTAACTTTAAAATGTAATTATTATGTGTAGGAGTTTTGTATTGTTTCCTTCCACAAAAGACTACATTATTGCTGTTGAGCCCAAGTTGCAGAACGGTGAAGGGAATTCAAATTTAAACTGGGCCTTGTTTTGGGCTGAAACAGTAGTTGCATTGAATGTGGATAGGGATTCCGTTGCCGGCCAGCCGGCTGGTTCTCTGCCTAATACTGCCAACAAATGGTCAATTATAGATAAAATGATCGCCACAAAAATTATGTTGAATTAATGATCCAAGGAACCCAAAATTTCCTTTCGCACAAGATGACTTTTGGGGCAGGCGAATGATACTCCTATAACATCTTCTAACTTCCATCCGCACGTTTTGGCATGTCAGGTTCATTAGGAAAAAGATGTCATTTTGAACTTTCAAACTTGCCAATAGTTTTTTAAGTATTTCAAGAATCATACCGATTAGACTAATAGCCTATTTGGGAGTGATTTTTTGACCGTTATTTCATTATTTTCGTCGTCATATTTGACTTCTTCTATGGCAGGTGAACTCCACTTTTTCCTAACGGCCAAAAAATCAATTCTCAAAATGACTCTCAAACTGGCTCTAAATTAGATTAGATTGAACCTAAAATCGAAAAATAAAAATCGATTTAAAAAGAAATATCAAAACTAGTTGGTTGGGTGACACTTAATCAAAAACATGTTTTACTACTTCAACCACTTACATATTTTAGATTAGTGTTTGCGTTTGTAAATAGTAACCACAGTTTTGGCTCTATCTTTTACTTCAATGTGCTGAGAAAACACGATGTTCTTGCTTCGAATATGCTGCTCTGGACCTTGGATGCACTGCACTGAGTACGTGCCGATTTACCTCTGTTTTAGCTTATTATGTTTGATTCTAATGTACAGTTGGTACACAAGGGATTCCCCTTTGAAAAATTTATTCTGTAATGTTAATAAAATTCTACTCGTAGTTTATTAAAATCATATAGAATAAACTACCAAGATTGTACGATGAAGTGTTACTTTAATGGTCGACTGACTACATCCCTCACAATTGAAATATTTTGTCAAGAAGACGAACATTTTTACTATAAATGTACAAATTAAGTTGATTGGATTCGATATAATTTTAAAAAATAAAGACCCGTTTGACTTGCTACGAGTCACAATGTCGTGGTATAACACAACACAATTTGGCAATAATTTAGAGCCAACTCTGAACACAAGTGGAATTGAATCCTTACTTCGGCGACTGGACCATGCTCCTTTTTTATTTATTTATTTATTTTTTTTGGGTGCAAACTTGATACAAATTTATGCCTTTATTTCGGTGAGATACATAATTTAACGTGCTCAACCATCCATCGTACTTTTTCTGACAAAAAGAAAATATAAATATTTTCCCAAAATATTTCAACCATACCATGTGGAAAATAAATACAACGGTAAAAGTTGCAATAGAATCATCAAAATTACGAGAATCCTAATGAAAATTGAATAATGCTATTCCAACAGATTCCTTTGCACAGATGTTGAACAGGTAATAAAAAATTAATAATGGACACATCAATGAACAGTAGAAATTGTTTGAAAAACGGGACAAATTTGGCAGACCATAGCAGTGTGTCACGGAGACACTTTCTCCGTGACACACTGCCGGTCATGTAGCAGTGTGTCACGGAGACACTTTCTCCGTGACACACTGCCGGTCATGTAGCAGTGTGTCACGGAGACACTTTCTCCGTGACACACTGCCGGTCATGTAGCAGTGTGTCACGGAGACACTTTCTCCGTGACACACTGCCGGTCATGTAGCAGTGTGTCACGGAGACACTTTCTCCGTGACACACTGCCGGTCATGTAGCAGTGTGTCACGGAGACACTTTCTCCGTGACACACTGCCCCACACTCTCCGTGACAGTGTGTCACGGAGACACTTACACACTTTTTTTTTCATTTTTTTCTATTTTATTGTTGTTCGAGGATGTGGTTTTGTAAACAAAAATAAAAATATAATTTACGATCAATTGTATACTTTTTTAAGTTCGTCTTCTATATTGGGTGTGTCCCTTGAAATGAAGAACATATCTGTTGGAAGTAAATGTCAAAACGAACAGATGTACCTATTCAAAGACTTTTGAAAATAAAATTCTCTTTCGGGGGCGTTGCCCCCAAGCCCCCACGGGGGACGCTGCCCCCTCGACCCCCGCGACCTGACCGGGCAGGTCGATCCCCGTTGCGCAGCGGCAAACACTAGTCGGGGCGGCAAATCATTGAAAAGTTTTGAAATGTTTATAGATAGTTTGGTGTAAATTTTCAGCTTGCAAGTTGCAATGCATATAATCCTGAGAATTTTT